AGAATCAAAATGCCGAGACTTTAAACAAGTACACAACCCATCCACAGAGCAAGATGAGTTGGGTAACCTTCTAACCATCTTAGAAAAAGATGGAATCCTACCCCCCCTCTCCCCACCCCTCCCCCCACCCTTAATGTATCCCGCCTTACCAGGAGGGTGTTGCATCACTCCCACACCTGCACATCTCTGCAACACATTAACTTTTGTGTTATGTTGCAGTTATTACCAGATATCAACTCCACCTCCAGTTTACGCTATCTCTCTCTTGTGGTTATTTTCAGATATCAATTCCATCTCTAGGTCGTGTGTTATGGTTCATGGTTTCCTCTAGTATGTATACGTCCAAAGGTTCCTCTTAAGTCACAAAGTAATCTCGGAACATATACACACACTAGAAAGAGCACCTATGGTTCATGGACGACCAATTGATAACCTCAGAATTCTATTGTCTCCGATTTCCATTAGCGTGACTTCATTCCCTCGTTCCCTTCCCACTCTCTTTCTCTTTCACTTCTTTCCTCTCTCTCTCTCCGCATGAAAAATCTTATGTTGCCTTGAAAATGTCCAGTGTTGTATGTCCAACATCGTTCACGGTGACTCAACCCATAACCTTCAATCTCTCTCGTGATTCCCACCTCCAAAACATAGCACATTGACCCCACCTCCAAAACGTAGCACATTGACCCCACCTCCAAAACGTAGCAGAGTTTTAACCCTGTCGTAGCTCAGTCGATTAAGGCAATGTCTGGGATGCTCCCGGACGCAGGTTCGAATCCTCGTCACGGCCCTTGTGGATTTGTTCATTTGTAGCAGAGTGACGCAGTATCATAACCTCAAACTCGGCCCCAACAACGATTCAACTTCAGATTGACGCAGTAACCGAACCTCACGCCCTCCAAGCTCTCCAGCCTGCACTCCGTAACTCACCCTTCAAACCTTCAATCTTCCATGGGAAAGTGACGCCCCCCACACACATACGTCAGCCTCTCCACGATTGATTGCTAAAGATTAAGCCACCCAAAAGGTGGCACGGGCATGAATAGCCCGTAAGTGGAGGCTCTTTGCTGATACTCGAGATCTGTAGAGACGCCAAGCCCCCTTTTTGTTGTATTAGATTTAGCTACTCAGAACGAAGTGTCCATATAGCACCGGCTATGGTGAGCCCGTAAGCCACGCCACCTGTTATGCTGGTACATATAGACCGCCAGCAGGGCAGGTGGGGTGACCCGGTATAGACCGGACCACCGGTATACCACGCCCATATGTCCATTACAGATGCGCGCGGCCAGTTCCTGCTGCTTCCAAAGGCTCCGTGAATCCATGTTGAGTTTTTGCTCTGTCCGACTGTCTCTCTCCCTCTCTCAAGTGCATTGTGGGTAATTGTTATTGAAATATAGATTTCGTGGAGATTTACTATCTCCACCTCATTTGAGCATATTTCATGTGTCTCATTTGGAAGCAATTTAATGTGATCCCTTGTTCGTGTATCATTCGTGAAAAATAATCTATATCTGATATGTCTATTCCCCTGAGTATTTTATATGTAGTGATCATGTCTCCCCCTTTTTCTGTCTTCGTATAGGAACGTGAAGTTTAATTTATTTAGTCTTTCCTTGTATCTGATTCCTCTCAGTTCTAGGACTGGTTTAAATATATGGTATACAAGATTTTTATCAAGTGTCTATAGTAAGATGTCACCCCCCCTCCCACTGACTTCAGGACGGCTTCCCATCCAATTTGTATCCAACATCCTGTTCCCAGTATCCAGCTTCATTATTTTGCACTTGGTTGTGTTTAATTCTAGTAGCCACTTGTTGAGCGTTCTTTTAGTTTGGTCATGTCATGCTGTAGTTTCATTCATTGTTTGTAACCACCTACACGTACTTGACACATCGAGGTTAATGCAATACGTATTAAATTATGTATTAAACGTAAACGTAAAAACGTATTAATACGTACTCACCTAGTTGTATTTGCAGGAGATAAGCCACGACTCGTGTGTGCGTGTGTGTGCGCGCGTGCATGTGTGTGCGTGTGTGTGCGCGCGTGCATGTGTGTGCGTGTGTGTGCGCGCGTGCATGTGTGTGTGTATTCACCTGGTTGTGCTTGCGGGGGTTGAGTATTGGCTCTTTGGTCCCGCCTCTCAACTGTCAATCAACTGATTACTAACTACTTTTTTTTTCTCTACACCACACACACACACACAAGGACGCAGCCCGTGACAGCTGACTAACTCTCAGGTACCTATTTACTGCTAGGTAACAGGGGCATTCAGGGTGAAAGAAACTTTGCCCATTTGTTTCTGCCTGATGAGGGAATCGAACCCGCGCCACAGAATTACGAGTCATGCGCGCTATCCACCAGGCTACCGTGTGTGTGTGTGTGTGTGTGTGTGTGTGTGTGTGTGTGTGTGTGTGTGTGTGTGTGTGTGTGTGTGTGTGTGTGTCAAGGCTACACCAGTTGGCAACGGACTCCGAATTACAAACACACGTTCCCAACATATCGATCGATTCAGTAGCTACCTCGATCAAAGGTTGTCAGGCGGGACCCAAGAACTGCAGCTCAATCCCCACAAGCGCAACTGCGCGAGGACACAGCAAGAGATTAGTAAGACACAGGAGGAAGCCAGAGAAACGAAACGCACTTACCAACAGAATTCAGGCGGAAGATCAGGCATTTTTCAGACACTGAAAGAGGCAGCCAAGAGGCGGCCTGACACCCCAACGAATTGACAGAAGCCAAGAAGGAAGGCGCCTGACACCCCAACACACTGACAGAAGTCAAGATGGAGTCCGACTGACAGGAGCCGGAATGACACCAACAAATTGAATGGAACCAGGAGGCAGCCTGACAGAAACCAAGAATACCAACAGCCTGACAGGAGCCACAATGGAGTCAAACCATCCACAAGGGTACCAAGTCTTGGTCGAGTAAACAGAGCCCCAAGAGGGAAGGAAGCGTAGCTAGCAGGAGTATGAGCGGGGTTTGGTGTCAAGCAACAATCAATAGCTTCGCCCCTCCCCACTAGCCTAGTTCACCTAGTTCACCGGGTCCGCTTCATCCCACCAATCTCTTTCACAGTTACATGAAAGTTGATTTAAGAATTCAATTGTAACATAGAAATCATTCCATTAATGACTGGACAAAACAGATGTACAATAATCTAAATTAAACTTACATTTTAGGAATATTTACATTATAAACAACTTTAAACATGAACTGAATTGTGGCTTGTAAGTATAAGTGAGTTTCCCGATTGAAATTCTATGAACGGTGATTTTAATTTGAAGTTACTTAAATTAGCGGCGCTCTGATAAATAGATCATGCCTGTGATTTCATTTGTGATGTATTGATCATGTAGTAGTGACCAGGGTAGGGGTGTGGGGTGGAAATTATTGAACGTTAGGCTACGGATTAGCAAGAGACTGATGTTGAACATGCCCGTTCACTTATTACCACTCCTTAAGAAATGCAACTCATTTTACTAACCAGAAAACGTACAAACCCAAGCAACCCACTTAACCTCTCAGGTTAATGCATAGAAAAGGTTAATATTAAGGGGCTTTCATTGTAATTAATACGCCGCATTGGTTAATTTCATAACAAATGTAACATTAAGTGAGAGGACAGGTGGTTGAATTTGGTTTTACCAAGTTAATTTGTGGTTGTGGTAGCAATATTGTTGGTAATGTTGTTTGTGGCGATGGTGGTTTTATGGTTAATGGTTGTAGTTATGGTGGTACTTTGTAGTTGTAGTAGAGCTTGTGGTCTTACAGGTAGTGGTGGTGGTAGTAGTGTGGGTAAAGGTAGTCGTCTAGTCTATCATCCATTGTGCCATGCCCACGATGGTGGTGATAAGTGATGTCACTATACTGTCACGAAGACCTTAGTGATGTCACTATATTGTCAAGATGACCTTAGCCACTTTAATATACCCAGCAAGACGAATCAGCATTGCCGTGCGACTATAAAAATTGTTTCAAGGACGATGTAGTGTGTGTGGTGCCAGTGTTGCCAGGTTGGTGGTAGTGGCAGTACTGGGAGGATGGCAGTGACAGGATGCCAATAGACAAGGCATTTCCCCTGTGTTGTGACGACACTGGGGATGAGGTGTCGTCGACCCTCGAAATATGTATTTATTAACACCACAAAAGAGAGAGAAAGAGAGAGAGAAAGAGAGAGAGACAGAGACAGAGAGAGAGAGAGAGAGAGAGAGAGAGAGAGAGAGAGAGAGAGAGAGAGAGAGAGAGAGAGAGAGAGAGAGAGAGAGAGAGAGAGGGGGGTCTCTTATTGACGTCATCAGAATCAGCTGTTCATTGTATACGTTTTGTTCTGGACCTTTTGGTTCAACACGCACTTACACCATATTATCTTTCATTAGAAATATAATGTTATTGTTAAAAATAGCTTCAATACGTAGATCTGTATAAAGAGAGAGAGAGAGAGAGAGAGAGAGAGAGAGAGAGAGAGAGAGAGAGAGAGAGAGAGAAATTTAAGATGTGTGAGTCCTTACCAAACACGAAACACGTTATCAATCGGTAATTAAATACACAGTAACTACACCGGAAATCCGTTTATTTGCAACAACAACAACATTACGGATGATTTACGCAAAACTAATGTTCTATTTTTAGCATGAATCTATACAACAGCCTTTAATTTTTTTGTTTACATAATTTATTTTTGTTCCTCCAGCATAACAAAAGTCTACGGGTTACGAGATTACATTTGCAACCTTGCACTTTCGTGGCATTGAACTTTGACCTTTGGATGAAATTTGAAGGTCAAAATCGAATTCAAAACGAAATAAACTGTTTAATGGGATGTAAAATAATTTACATTCCGAAATTATCAATGTGAGAAATCTCACATTGACAAAAGAAATGCGCTTAATAATACTAATAATATTAATAATAATAATAATAATAATAATAATAATAATAATAATAATAATAATCTAGCACTTTTTAAAATAATCAAGGTTTAATAAAATACTTACCGTTGTAAGCAGACAGAAGCAAGGACAGCTTGATGACTGATTATAGAAGTGCTTCAGTAGGCTATATATATATGGCTTTCCCGTTTTTGAGAGATAACCACTCCCTCTTTGTTAGCTTTTCTTGCTAGGCGAAGTCAGGACTCGTCAACAAGACAGTATGTCTATGTCAGTACTCTTAGTCACGATAGTTTGGTGCGTTTATAAGGGGCCTGAGGATAAGTGAGGGTGGAGCACAGTGGAGCGCATGAAACGACCGCCAAGTTTCTAAAGTTGTGGTTTGTGGAGAGCGGTGCCTCAGCGTCGAGGCGCGGGGAACGACTGAAGAGGGTTCCGTGAGGTTGGCCAAGTTATAGCTGTGCATGGAAACCGGTTCAGCGAGCCAGACCGAGTCGAACCCGCCTCCCGAAGCCTGCCAGACTGAGTCAGAACCCGCCTCCTGAAGCCAGCCAGACTGAATCAGGAACCCGCCTCCCGAAGTGAGCCAGACTGAGTCGAACTCACATCCCGAAGGCTCACTCAGGGCGCCGTCGGGCCCGACATATACCGTCCTACGATAACACCTTCGTGCACCTGACGCAGATTTAAATATACCGCGCCTCGAGCCCGCCCCCAATCGACGTTTGGGACCAACGTTAATCAGCTTGTGAAAGGAGTTTATATCTTTGTGGGTGGAGTGACTGACTCGGTGGTTGGTGGGGGGAAGAGTAGGTATAGCGGCAGTGATATGGGAAACACTATTGGCTGGCTGCGGGAGACAGGACACGGCCCGGGTGCCACTCTCACACTTGGCACTCTTGGCAGTGTGTGGGGAAAACCAGTTAGTGTTGACACTGGGCGAAAAAAAGACACGCATGCACGCACGCATACGCACACATGCAAGCACGCATGCGCGCCTACGCACACATGCATGCATGCCCATATCTCAAGGATCACTTCAATAAATTGGAAAAGCTGCAAAGAAAAGCTACGAAGTGGCTTTGGGAACTGAAAAACAAGAGCTATGAGGTGTTATATACGTCATAGCAAGAGTGAAGAAAAATAAATGATGATCACTACATACAAAATAGTAACAGGAATCGACAAAACTGACAAAGAGTTCTTGAAACCCGCAACCCCAAGAACAAGGGGTCATAGATTCAAGCTAAGGAAACAAAAGTGCCGAAATAATATTAGAAAGTTGTGTCCAACCACTTGGGCTGGACGGTAGAGTGACGGTCTCGCCTCATGCAGGTCGGCGTTCAATCCCCGACCGTCCACAAGTGGTTGGGTACCATTCCTTCCCTCCGTCCCATCCCAAATCCTTATCCTAACCCTTCCCAGTGCTATATAGTCGTAATGGCTTGGCGCTTTCTCCTCATAGTTTCCTTCCCTTCCCTTCACTTTTGTAGACTGCTGGCCCAAGCTAAGTGAGAAGGTGGTGGAGGCCAAAACCGTCAATAGTTTCAAACTATTATACGACAAAGAGTACTGGGAAGACGGGACACCACGAGCGTAGCTCTCTTCCTGTAACTACACTTAGGTAACTAATTACACGCAAGCACGCAACCTCACCTTGTTTACAGACATAAAGACACAATAGAGACATGATAATATCTATGATCTTACTTCAGATGAATTGTTAGTTTGACAAAAAAAACCATATTTACATGAAAAAAAAACGGGGTGGGGGGGGGGGGCGCCCTGTCCCGGCTGCATTATTTATTTATTTATTTATTTATTTATTTATTTATATACAAGAAGGTACATTGGGTTTGTGAGGCTACATAGCATAGTATTTACAATCTTGTAAAGCCACTAGTACGCGCAGCGTTTTCGGCAGGTCCTTAATCTAACAGATAATTTTAAGTAGGTAAATTCTAGCAGAATTAATAAAATGATAACAAATACATTGCAAGAAAAAAATGAGATGAGAGAGATTAGTAGGAATATTAAAGCACATTGGTAGCTCTGATTGATTGCATTGACAGCTTGATTGGTAATTTAAACAAAGATTAATAGGCATTGGAGAGATGCTCTTCAGCACAGAACCTATATTAAACAAACATTACAAAAGGAGATACAAGAAGTGAATTAATAAACACCTTCATATCTCCGCAACCACATCTATGTGAGTACATAAAACCCACACACTAAGCCACATCAATGTGAATACATACCAATAAACTGAACCACATCTATGTGAATACATACCCACACACACTTAGCCATATCTATGTGAATACATACCCACACACATTTAGCCACATTTATGTAAGTACATACCCACACATACACCCAACATACTAACTCACCTACTCTCAAAAAAGCCAACGAAAGCATGAACCCAAAATCCATTCAAGCTGTAGTATATTTACCCTAAGCTTCTCCATTACCCCCATAATGCCAAACAGTGCCATTAATTTTGGGCACGGCACTTGTTTGGCGAGCCTCTCTTGGAACTTTCAAAACTCGTAAGAAACTGAACCTCTGAACAACATTTAATAAGCAATTGCGGCAGCCTATGCCAATAATCCTGGTTCTCTGCGACGGGATTAATATAAAATATTGACAATTTCCATTTGCAATCTTGAGGGCTAGCTTCCCACCACCCCGGCCTCGTCTCATCCACTCTCCCTTCCTCAACTCCCTGCTGTTCCATCGAGAATGACACAGGGAAACATTCGACAGCCTCTCCCCCAGACCGCAATCCTAACACCACAATACTCCAATTTAGTTTTCCCCCGCCATCTGGAGGAGCTAGGCTTCTTCCGACTGTATAAATATATATATATTCTGTTTAAGTCAGTCATTCTGACGTATTTTAACTCACCTTTTCTCTCTTCTCTCACTCAGAGAATTCCTCTCTCCGTGGCTCCAATAACTCCCCCTTCTCTCTCTCCCACCACTGGCCTCAGGCCGCTCTTGGATCAATCAGGACCACTCGTGACAAGGGAGAAAGGCCACCATAACACTGTCAACTGATGTGTGTTTGTCATTGACATATTTGTCATCATGACATTGTTGCTGCGTTGTGTGTGTGAGAGAGTGAGTAGAGAGAGAGAGAGAGAGAGAGAGATAGGAGAGAGATCGATGAGAGATGGAGAGAGAGAGAGAGAGAGAGAGGAGACTGAGAGAGAGAGAGAGAGAGAGAGAGAGAGAGAGAGAGAGAGAGATAGAGAGAGAGAGAGAGAGAGAGACAGCGAGCACTCGAACCCGCATTGACTTCGTCAGGAGGTAGCAACGATCCTGGGGGGCTTCCCCCCCCTTCTTTCTCTCTCCCCCCCTCCCCCCTCACTGATGTGCGATGGTGGCTGGTCACCACCACAACCACTGTAACCCTGCAGAGAAGAAACACACGGGAAATGATCACAACATACAAGATACAGAGGCAATAAACAAGATGAACAAGGATAGTCTTTAGACAGTAGGACTAGAGAACGTAAGTGGAAGCTGGAAACGTAAAGAAGTCGAAGAAGTGTAAGAAAGCTCTCGTACCTTATACGGGTGATCAACAAGTTGAATGCACCGAAGGAAAGTTGTGGAAGCCACCTCCAATCATTAGTCTAAAAGGCCAGATTCGGTCAATACAATTCGAACACGAAGGTAATTCAATTGTCAAGTCAGAAGGTACAACAATGCCAGCAGGCGGGGCAGGGAGCTTTTTTTTACGCCCTCGTAGTCACCGATAGGTTAGTACCACGAGCATAGTCATGCACTTCCGCCACCCCTGACTACCACCACTACCACCACCCTGACCACCACCCTGACCACCACTCTGACCACCACCACCACCACCCTCGGCACTGTCACTGCCACCCTCACCACGGCAGTGTCAGGCACAGGCTGGTGCAGCCCCACCCTGCCTGTGTTGCTTGGCTTTTCAACTGAAATGCATGGCTTCGTGAGGCGAGAGGAGGCGTAGAGAGAGAGAGAGAGAGAGAGGAGAGAGAGAGAGAGGAGAGAGAGAGAGAGCGAGAGAGAGAGGAGAGAGAGGAGAGAGAGGAGAGAGGAGAGAGAAGGAGAGACTCTCATCCTATAACTACACTTAGGTAATTATACACATTCTCTCTCTCTCTCTCTCTCTCTCTCTCTCTCTCTCTCTCTCTCTCTCTCTCTCCTCTCTGCAGGAACATATGAGTCACACAGGGTGTGTAACGGGCGATGGGTGGAGTCTGGATGGGCACCGGGCGTCCGGTGATCTCTCTCTCGTGAGAGAGAGAGAGAGAGAGAGAGAGAGAGAGAGAGAGAGAGAGAGAGAGAGAGAGACAAAGACACGGGCACTCCCTGGCGAAAGGGGGCAACCCAGGAAATAAGGAACGGAATAAGTTGTAAGGAAGGAGTGATGATAGACACAAAGGAATGGAGGAGATGGGAGAACTGCAGATGAAGAGATGAAGCCTTGACTGACATCTACCAGCTTAGTAGAGGATAGTGGTGGATGGGTAGTAGTTGTGGTTACGAGGGAATTTACATGTTGTCTCTCTCTTGGTAGAGGTGATAAATATTATACATTCTGAGCATTGTGGCAGTTTTGGTAATCCATTTGAAGGGATGCTGACCTTCAAGAAAGAAGGCTTGACGGTTGGTCAGTAGGCTATTGTGGTGTTCTTAAATTAATAACCCTGCAGAGGTTGATTGGCCCAACACCAAACTTGCTGGTTGGTCAGTAAGCTGTTGTGCTGGCCATAATAACCCTCCAGAGGTTGATAGACCTTAAACCCAACTGCAAACCTAAGAATTAGTACAAAGGGTAAGGGGCTGGTTTGGGAGGGGGGCAGGTCTCCTGTCGTCCTTGGCACACCTATGGATAAACCAGTCGATTGTACAATGTACACAGATTATACATTCTTATAGATAATTATAGTAACAGTTAAATAATATTATTACCAGGACACACACACGGAAGGAAGAAAAAAAGAGAATCTGTACACCAGTAGATTGACAGTTGAAAGGCGGGACCAAAGAGCTGAAGCTCCCGCCCCCCCCCCCCCCCGCAAGCACACCTAGGTGAGTACACACACACACACACAGGGGTGAAGGCGGTTACCGTACACAACCGTTGAGATCCTTAACAGGAGGAGTATGTTTGAAGTTAAGTCGTGGGCGGCAGTGGTGGGTGTGGGTGGGCGGGGGTGGTGGTGGGTGGTGGGCGGGGGGTGGTGGCCAAGTGAGCCAATGACAGTATATGGCCAATAATAAATCTTAGTTACGCTAAATACTACTATATTACTACTACTGTAATTGATATTGTACTTCATCAGTACTTCTGCGATTGTACTTGGTAGGCTGAGGTGCATATTAATATTCTATTGTACTTCTACCTCACTACTATTGTGCTAATATTACTAGTGTACTACTCACACTCTTGCTGCCCTGCACTAATGCTACTATGGAATAAAAAGTGAGAAGAATAAAGAGGAGGAGGAGAAAAAGAAGCATGATGATAATATAAATACAAATAATAAACAGGGATAAACAATATAATAAAAATAAACAGGGATAAACAATATAATAAAAATAAACAACAAAACAAATATAATATCAAACACAACCTAGCTAATTGTTTTAATCCTTATCAATTAAAAAACCGAGTTTCTATAAATAATTTTTTTATAAATAAATAATTATACATAATAATTTAGCCATAACTGAAGAGAGTAAAAAATGTCTAATCGAATGTTGTCATGATTTCTGCCTGGGCCCCACATAGCTGCGAAGGTAAACACGAAAGGCCCGCCAAAATGTCACGTGTTTACACTTCAGGATGTAAACAAGCGGCCGGGGGCATGTAAATTAATCACACACTCCTCTCTCTCTCACGAGTGAGCTAACTTAATAATAACGTTATTATTACGAGTACTGTTTATACTCATCTTTGGCAGAGTGTCAATAGACACAATAGACAATAGACTGTGATTTGTGGCTCTGTACTAACTGGGTTTGTGCGCCCCTTGAGGGACTTGAAGTAGAGAAGGGTAGAAATAGCCTAAGCTTCTCTATCCCTCTGAGACGTATTTTATTGTCTCAATAAACGTACTTGAGCTTGTATGGACACAGGCAGAAATCATAAAATCCGTTGATTTTAATATACTGCTTGGCACTTTATGATTTAACATTACTTGTGAGCAATAAGGTTTAATTCTGACGGATAACGAGTGATTTTAACATTTCCTTTCTCGTACGAGCGTTGAATGTAAGACATAAATAAGCCTCATCGCCCCATTTAGCCATGCTGCTACATTGGACTTATGTGATTTAGACTTTATAATGAGATTTTAAGTCTAAAACCTTGTTCCTAGGAAATGTGAAATGCACAGCCTCAGCTTGTTTGAAGTTTGCCAAGATATAAAATAAGCAAACATGATATTTATTCAGTCTCAGACGGTAAAATATTAATGTTTCTAGTCATAAATATTGCCACAACAGCTTCACAGATGAGGTAGTGTGAGTGCCAGTGAGCGCTCATTAAGATAATCTGCGCTCTTATGAGGATTATCTGCGCTCTCATGAGGATTATCTGCTCTATCATTAGGGTTATGAGCGCTCTCTTGAGGATTTCCTACACTCTCATAGGGATTATTTCCTCAATTGAACACGCAATTGAGTAGCAGAGATGTAAGGAGGTTCTCGTTCCTCGTACGGGTGGTCGGCAAGTAGCATGCATTGAAGAGGTTGTTGAAGCCAATTTCATGCACAACTTTAGAAAATATATGATGTCAACTTTAATATTGACAGGTAATTAACACGCCAGATATAACCGGCAGGAGAGAGGAGCATAAAAGGCTAGAGGTCACTCCTCTGTAGTCAGTGATATGAAAGCACAACTGATTAATCAGCTTTCTTGTTAAAGTGTGTCTGTTGTATAGCTTTTGTTATACTTCTGTAGTATACGCTATGGTGCAGCGGATGATATCGGGCAGCCTTCGGGAACTTTGTTACGAAGGCGATCAGAAGACTGTAAAGATTCGTCATTCGCCTCACAAAACACCATAAACAAACATTTAAAACAATCTTAAACATAAAAGAGGATTCTAGTGCAGTAGTTAACACAACCAATTGAACTCTGCTCAGAATGTTCGGTAATATGTTTATTGTTTGTGATGTGTGTATATATATATATGAACACGATGTACTGAACGGGGTGAGAATAGCTTGAGCTACCTCATCCCTTTGTGTGTATTTTACCTCAATAAACTTATTTCAATTTAAATTTAATTCCAATTGATCTCTAGTTTGATTCCGTGGTAGAGAGAGACATTTGGCCACGTTTAACTATACCTGATAAATCTATAACGAGTGATTATGCATTATTATAATATTTGAAGACCACGTAAATAATTGCATTTATATAACTAAACCAGTTATAAACATACCTAATATCATTAATAATTACATTAAAAACTCAACATTGATGAATATATCCACTGGATATGTTCGTCCTCTCAACAGCGACAAGCGCACACGACTGGAATAATTAATCTCAGAGGGAAAATATACTGACAATTTTGCAGTTGACTGCGACGACAATGTTTACATCCCAGCCAAGATGGCTGCCGTTCGTGGTGTTCCTCCATAAATAATGATGTGTGGATGGCGGGTTCACAGCCCCTCCTCTGACCCTATATCAAGAACGAAACTGTTTGTTGGCCAAAGCTTGCCAGGGAATTATAAACTTATGCTTGCTCTTATAAACTTATAAACTCTAAAAAAATTATAAACTTATCACTTGCTCTGTGATAGACAAAGAGCATTTTATATCAGCTGGGGATGGGTTCTATGGTAATATTAGACTAAAGATAATTTTTCTATCTGATGTGTGCCTTTCTGTTTATAAGGCGCCAATGACCTTACTCGTTGCTAGATAAGTGATTAATTTAGCAGTCAATCGAACACACTCCTAAGAATTCTGGAAAATATTCCTAAGAATCCAGGAACGCATTTCTAAGAATTCTGCAACACATCAATAAGATCCCTCAAACACAGCAAAACGACTCATTCAATACATATCCAACACAAATTTGTATATATCCAATGCACCCATAAGTTATCTACATTAACGTTTTTCTCCATCAACGCCTACCCTACTTTATAATAATAATAATAACGTTTCCAGCACTGAGTCACCAACGGCTACCCAACGTTTCTCCAGCACTGAGTCACCAACGGCTACGCAACGTTTCCAGCACTGAGTCACCAACGGCTACCCAACGTTTCTAGCCCTGAGTCACCAACGGCTACCCAACGTTTCCAGCACTGAGTCACCAACGGCTACCCAACGTTTCCAGCAGTGAGTCACCAACGGCTACCCAACGTTTCCATCACTGAGTCACCAACGGCTACCCAACGTTTCCAGCAGTGAGTCACCAACGGCTACCCAACGTTTCCATCACTGAGTCACCAACGGCTACCCAACGTTTCCATCACTGAGTCACCAACGGCTACCCAACGTTTCCAGCACTGAGTCACCAACTGCTCCCAAACACGTCTCTGGCATGATTCACCAACGCGCCTCCAGCACCGAGTCACCACCAACGGCTCCCCAATATTTCACCAGCCTGAGTCACCAATGTTTACATTTGTTGTGGGTTGATTTCCTTTGTTATCCCGTTCAAGGTAACATAATTCTTGGGTCACATATGCAAACCTTTATATTGACGTCGAGGATACGGGTCAATGCTTGACTGATAGCCTAAACCCATTATTTGGCGCGCAAATGTCGGCGAGAAACTTATGTGTACTCACCTAACTTGCGGGGGTTGAGCTCTGGCTCTTTGGTCCCGCCTCTCAACCGTCAATCAACAGGTGTACAGGTTCCTGAGTCTATTGGGCTCTATCATATCTACACTTGAAACTGTGTATGGAGTCAGCCTCCACCACATCACTGCCTAATGCATTCCATTTGTCAACCACTCTAGGTGTGTGTGTGTGTGTGTGTGTGTGTGTGTGTGTGTGTGTGTGTGTGTGTGTGTGTGTGTGTGTGTGTGTGTGTGTGTGTGTGTGTGTGTGTGTGTATATGTGCGCTGGTGTTTGTGACTGGGAGAGGGCGGGGTGTTGGCGTGTGGGCAGCAACAGGAAGCGTGTAGGCGACCAGGTATTCCGTCCGGTAGCCTGTCTCTCTTCTTCCTCCTCTCTCTCTGTTTCTCTGTCCCTCTTCTCGTGCACATATAATAATAATTATTATTATTATATTAATTATTATATAGACCCTCACACGCGTGGAATCCGTATAGTTAAGTCTCCTACAGCATAGGTAAATGAAATAATAATAATAATGTATTTATCGAAAGTGTTGGTGGTTGTGTGTGGGTGAGGTTGGGGCCAGTCACAGACGGTTGGTATGGGTGAGTCAGGTCCATCCTTGTGGCAGCGCAATATATATATTTTCCCAACATAAAGGACCTGGGCTTCACGGGCTCGCCATAGCCCGTGCTACTTGGAACTATGTGTTCTGGGTAGCTGAATCTAAATCAACAACAACTTAGGTTTAATTGCCGCAACAGGATAAGACTAGATATTTGGACACGTTTCCTTATATTTCTTGCTTCTGTTCACCTTAGCAGTTAATAGGTACCTTCGAGTTTACACAACAGTAGTGGGTTGCATCCTGGGAAAGATTAGAAGTTGGCCTATGGGTCACTTCTATACACTTAACAGCCTTCCTGTCGCTGACAAATGGTAAATCGTACTGGTAAAAGTACTTTTTGTGAAAAGTAGTGCATGATACTGGTAAAAACCAATCTCATACAGGATGTATAGGCGCACCTCTCCATAGGCCTATAATGTCCGAGATAGGTAATCAACGACCTATTTATTTTTGGTGCTGAGCAACCCACCATAAGCAACACAACTGACTGGTGGAGGCTGACTCCATACACAGTTTCAAATGTAGATATGACAAGAGCCCAGTAGGCTCAGGAATCTGTACACCAGTTGATTGACGGTTGAGAAGCGGGACCAAAGAGCCAGAGCTCAACCCCCCGCAAGCACAACTAGATGAGTACAACCCCCATTACAACCATAACTACCAACAACGCCAATAATACAACCCCCCAACATAACCACCACCGACAAGCAAGAATGATTCTAACTAGGCTACAAGATGACGTCACAATGATGGAGCACATACAAAGACTTATAGTCAACAGTTGCAGAGTTGGGTGCTTGTCATCGCGTCAGTGTTGTTTCTTGGTGGTCCGTTGAGGGGCTGGCGAAGTAGGGTTAATACTCCCTGGGTTCTTGGACTCAATCTAAAGAAAACTAGAATTGCACCAAACTTGCTGAAAAAAAACACATTCTCTAGTTTCAGGGAGGCTGGAGGCGTCACTACCGACCCCATGAAGCTTTTCGCTCGAGCAAATGCTATTCAATGCTAGACTTTTGTGAAGGCTGGGATTTTAAGATGCCGTGTGATGTACGGGGTTAGGAGATCGGGTTTCCTATCACAATAATGGAGTCAAGCCCCACAAAGGTCTAGTCATTTTCTCAGTCCTCGGCAATTTTCAATTAATTATTTTCCTTACTTTATATTCACTACTGGTTGTCCTAGCCTAGCCTAGGCTGTTGTACTTTATATATATTATTGTGTTAGGTTTTAATTTTTTCATTGGCCGTAGACTTAGGGGCTTCTTTAAAGATTGCTGGGGTTACTGACCTCGACAAACCCCCGAGGGAATAATTATCCTTCCTCTGGTAGTTACCAAGTCTAGCCCGGACAGTCTCATTGTAGCGCATAAGACTTGCACCAACCACAGCCTCATTGTAGCGCACAAGACTTGTACCAATCAGCTTCAATGTAGCGCACAAGACTTGTACCAACCACAGCCTCATTGTATAGCACAAGACTTGTACCAACCACAGCCTCATTGTAGGGTACAAGACTTGTACCAACCACAGCCTCATTGTGGCGCACAAGACTTGTATCAACCACAGCCTCATTGTAGCGCACAAGACTTGTACCATCCACAGCCTCATTGTAGAGTACATGACTTGTACCAACCACAGCCTCATTGTAGCGCACAAGACTTGTACCAACCACAGTCTCATTGTAGCGCACAAAACTAGTACCAACCACAGCCTCATTGTAGCGCACAAGACTTGTACCATCCACAGCCTCATTGTAGAACACAAGACTTGTACCAACCACAGCCTCATTGTAGCGCACAAGACTTGCACCATCCACAGTCTCATTGTAGCGCACAAAACTAGTACCAACCACAGCCTCATTGTAGCGCACAAGACTTGTACCATCCACAGCCTCATTGTAGAACACAAGACTTGTACCAACCACAGCCTCATTGTAGCGCACAAGACTTGCACCATCCATAGCCTCATTGTAGCGCACAAGACTTGTACCAACCACAGCCTCATTGTAGAGCACAAGACTTGTACCAACCACAGCCTCATTGTAGCGCACAAGACTTGTACCAACCACAGCCTCATTGTAGCGCACAAGACTTGTACCAACCACAGCCTCATTGTAGCGCACAAGACTTGTACCATCCACAGCCTCATTGTAGCGCACAAGACTTGTACCAACCACAGCCTCATTGTAGTGCACAAGACTTGTACCAACCACAGCCTCATTGTAGCGCACAAGACTTGTACCAACCACAGCCTCATGTGTACTTGTACCAACCACAGCCTCATTGTAGCGCACAAGACTTGTACCAACCACAGCCTCATTGTAGAACACAAGACTTGTACCAACCACAGCCTCATTGTAGCGCACAAGACTTGTACCAACCACAGCCTCATTGTAGCGCACAAGACTTGTACCTTCCACACGCCATGAACTTGACGAAAGGGTCACCTCCAGACTGATGTAAATCTTTCAATGGGCCATAGAAAATAATATTACGTGCAATAAATATAAGTTCCAGCTCCTGCTTTATACCAAATAAACTGAAAATATGACAACGGAAACCACATATAAAAAGTCAAATCACAATATAAAATAAGTAATATAAAGGCAATATAAAAGATTTGAGAGGAATCGTGTCGGAAGACCTTACTTTTAAAGAACACAATATAGCTGCAAAAAAATGTGACAGATTGGATAACAAAGAACCATTCAAATAATGATGCCGCATTAAGATATTGGTGCTCTCTTAGAGTAGAATATTGGTGCACAATAACAGCTCCATTCAAAGTTGTAGAAATTGGTGACGTGAAGAACATGCAAAGATCTTTAACTGCTAGAATTTATTCAATAAAACATCTAAATTATTGGAACCCCCTTAAAAATGTTAAAATCCGTATTCCCTAGAGCGCAGGCGAGATATACATAATACTCTTCACTTGGGAAATATTAGAGGGGACTAATTCCAAATCTATACATGGAAATAACTACACATGAAACAAGAAGTAACAAGGCAGGAAGTGCATAATAGCCCTGTTGAAAAGCAGAGATGCAGATGGTATTCTGAGAGAGAACTTTCAACATCAAAGGCCCGAGACTTTTCAACACTCCCCTTTTAAACATAAGGGACATAACTGAACCTCTCATGTGTTCAAAAGAGAGCTTGATAAACACCCCCATAGGATCCCTGATCAACTACACTGTGATTCATACGTCAGGCTGCGAGCAGCCGCGTCTAACAGCCTGGTTGACCAGACAGCCAATCAGGAGGCCTGGCTAGAGACCGGGCCGCATAGACGTTGCTCCTCGCAACCGACGAAAGGCAACAAGGTAGGTATCATACACGAATGGAACACTGAAATAATAGTCATAAACTGGATGAAGTCTATATTTATAAATATAATATATTTATAACTTCGTTAAACTAATTAAATTAATTAAACTAATTAAATTAAAAACTTCTTTGCCACACTTGTGAGACAGGTTATGACCTTGGGGGCTGTGTGCGTAGTGTGTGATGACCATGGGGGCTGTGTGCGTAGTGTGTGATGACCATGGGGGCTGTGTGCGTAGTGTGTGATGACCATGGGGGCTGTGTGCGTAGTGTGTGATGACCATGGGGGCTGTGTGCGTAGTGTGTGATGACCATGGGGGCTATGTGCGTAGTGTGTGATGACCTTGGGGGCTGTGTGCGTAGTGTGTGATGACCATGGGGGCTATGTGCGTAGTGTGTGATGACCTTGGGGGCTGTGTGCGTAGTGTGTGATGACCATGGGGGCTATGTACGTAGTGTGTGATGACCATGGGGGCTGTGTGCGTAGTGTGTGATGACCATGGGGGCTGTGTGCGTAGTGTGTGATGACCATGGGGGCTGTGTGCGTAGTGTGTGATGACCATGGGGGCTATGTGCGTAGTGTGTGATGACCTTGGGGGCTGTGTGCGTAGTGTGTGATGACCATGGGGGCTATGTGCGTAGTGTGTGATGACCTTGGGGGCTGTGTGCGTAGTGTGTGATGACCTTGGGGGCTGTGTGCGTAGTGTGTGATGACCATGGGGGCTATGTGCGTAGTGTGTGATGACCTTGGGGGCTGTGTGCGTAGTGTGTGATGACCATGGGGGCTATGTGCGTAGTGTGTGATGACCTTGGGGCTGTGTGCGTAGTGTGTGATGACCTTGGGGGCTGTGTGCGTAGTGTGTGATGACCATGGGGGCTATGTGCGTAGTGTGTGATGACCTTGGGGGCTGTGTGCGTAGTGTGTGATGACCATGGGGCTGTGTGCGTAGTGTGTGATGACCATGGGGGCTGTGTGCGTAGTGTGTGATGACCATGGGGCTGTGTGCGTAGTGTGTGATGATGGGGGCTGTGTGCGTAGTGTGTGATGACCATGGGGGCTGTGTGCGTAGTGTGTGTGATGACCATGGGGCTGTGTGCGTAGTGTGTGATGACCTTGGGGGCTGTGTGCGTAGTGTGTGATGACCTTGGGGGCTGTGTGCGTAGTGTGTGATGACCATGGGGGCTGTGTGCGTAGTGTGTGATGACCTTGGGGGCTGTGTGCGTAGTGTGTGATGACCATGGGGGCTGTGTGCGTAGTGTGTGATGACCATGGGGGCTGTGTGCGTAGTGTGTGATGACCATGGGGGCTGTGTGCGTAGTGTGTGATGACCATGGGGGCTGTGTGCGTAGTGTGTGATGACCATGGGGGCTGTGATGGCATGCATGCAGTTCCCTACTGCGTATGAGAGAGAGAACAGGTATAAACAATCCCCATCCTGGCCACCCACTATCAGCTCTGCCATTTAATACACCGCAGGTATAAACAAACCCATGTTGATTTATTTCACTCGTTTAAAAATAACTATCATATATTTACGATTTATAGCAGTAGGTTTAGAGATGCCTGGCAGTGGGGCGACGAGCCTCGCCTCCAGAACCCACACGGAACATGGGCGTAGACTTGACACGACAACTTTGAATATGTGAATACAATTGAACACCGCGTGATGTTGTTGTCTCAAGGTAAGCTGAAGTCCATGGCGCACTTGACCCGATGACAACAACGCAACATTCTCGCATTGTTGGAGTTGCGTCAGGTTAAGCTAGGCTTTACTTACTCAACTTAAACGCGCACGCACACACACACACACACACACGGACGGACGTGCGGGTGTGTTAGAAATATATGTAGTAGACTTAATACAGGAAAAATAGATTGGTTAGAAAGGCGGGGTACCTGTTGATTAACGGTTGAGAGGCGGGACCAAAGAGCCAGAGCTCAACCCCCGCAAGCACAACTAGGTGAGCATATACACACACACACACACGCAGCTGAGTGGACAGCGCTAGGGGGTCGTTGTCCTAAGGGCCTGGGGGGGTTCGATTCCCGGCCGTGGCAGAAACAAATGGGCAGTTTCCTTCACCCTGATGTCCTGTTCACCTAGCAGTAAATAGGTACCTGGGAGTTAGATAGATGCTTCCTAAGGACGTGCGGGTGTGTTAGAAATATATGTAGTAGACTTAATACAGGAAAAATAGATTGGTTAGAAAGGCGGGGTCCAAGAGCTTTGGGGTATATTCTGCAGGCACAAATAGTAAATACACACACACACAAACACACATATATATATATATATATACACACACACACACACACACACATATATATATATATATACACACACGCACACAAATAATATATATACACACACACACAATTTGCAGGAAAAGCGCCTCAGAGAAAAACGCATTTTACGGGGAAGGTTCCTAGCTTAAGTTAGTTGCTGTAGACCACATCCCACAATGTGTAGTAACGTAATTAATTAATTGTTGTAACATAAACAGGTTGTTGGTCAAGTGAACGATACAACTTGCTGAAAACATTTACACAATCACGATGTCTGCTTCACGTTATTTGTTGAGGCTTTGACATTATATGGGCTTTCTCAGCCCTATCGTTCATCTCCAAATGCCAACATATACCATATACACAGGCTGGCGTTTCGACATTATAAAACTGGTGCGATCTATATTGCTTCGTGCGGACTCCTATATGGTTTGGTGTTAGGCTTAAGGCTGTACGTGGATTATCATGGCTCTACCATTAGTTTACTGTTCACCCAGCAAGCAAGTAAGTGCGTGTATATATGTATATGTACGTATATATGTGTGTGTATGTGTATGTATGTGTATAAAGTACATATGGAAGCTGATCAGAATTGCATTTCACCTTTGTAAATGCACATTAATGACACTTCGAAAACTTTATGTAGGGCATACGTAAATCTGTGTATCTATGTATTTACGTATGAAGGTTAGCTTAGCATTTTAAAAGTACCGAATCACCTTCTGTGGTTGATTGTTCAATAAATCCCTAAACTATATGTTTAACTGATCTCTAACCCTGTCTATGGAGGACAGAAGAAAATGTATATATGCTGGTTAGCATTGTAAATGTGTGGCCACGTTTGTTGTAGAAAATAATAATAAAAAAAAGTAAGTCCTGAACAGTCCACGACTAAAGTAAACTCGGTGTATACAAGCTTTATAAAGCACCTGATCTTCTTGTAAAGCACCACGATGCCTGCCCCCCTATTGACAATCATGCTCACTCTCCTTTGCAATCTTTTACTGCATAGATTATAATTTTGCAGGCTTCTGTGCCTTTGCATGTTCACTCTTGTGTTCCCTCTATCTCTGCATATGTCTTTCTCCTCTAGTAATCTTGATGATATCTAGAAACTGTTCAATGTTCTTTGCTACACTGTTTTATAGATTTCCGTACTTGGCGTTTTCTTTTGATATTTCTCTCTTTGTCTCTATCCTCCCCCCTTGTCTATTTCTCCCCCCCGTCTTTTTCTCTCCCTTTGTCATCCTCTCTTTGTAGCCATGTCTTTGTTCTCTATCTCCGTCTTTTGTAGCTATTTCCGTCTTTGTCTCTTTGTCGATCTATTTCTCTCTTAAATAATGTTTACACACCGTATCACCATCTCAATCGAGGCACTGACAAACAATTTTCGTGATTCGTCATTGTTTATCTGTTATTTGTCAGTTGTCTTTGTTCGTATAGGTCATTTCAATGCTGTTGTTAATGGATGCTCTGATATTCCTATCTTTGTCCATGGTAGTTTTTTTTTTAATTACGCTGCTGCCAATTTGGTTCTTGCGTTCTTACAAACACACTGTTCCTGTCATTGTTTTTATTTATTTGGGCGAACACTAGTTTGGCTGTTTGCATTAGTCGCGTTTCCTTATATTTGTTTCAAGGAACTTCAATTGCGACTGCTGAGTCGTTTGGCAATTCTCAGTCAAACTTGGGTTGGACGGTAGAGCGACGGTCTCGCTTTATGCAGGTCGGCGTTCAATCCCCGACTGTCCAAGTGGTTGGTCACCATTCCCTTCCCTGTCCTATCCCTAATCCTTATCCTGACCCCCTTCCAACTAGCCTCCCTCATATCTCTCTTCTTCCTCAATACACCATTTCTATTCTCGCATCTGTCCCTTCATTTCAAGCATATATCCTTTCTCCCACCGTACTGCTGCTTCTCCAGCCTATTTTCCCTCCCATTCTCTCCTCCTATGGTCTCTCTTGCCCTAGTTCGCCCTCTCCACCAGCTGGGGAAAGGGTCATTGACTCTTGTGGGTCTTAGTAAGGTAGAGATTTGGCAGCCCAGAGGATTGCCGTCACATTAATCACAGTAGGCACCCGCCCACCCACCGATACCCCACACTCGGGG